ATATTAATGGACGAATTACGGTTCTTTAATCGGAAAAGGGGAAATCGGGAAAAAATCTGAAATTTTGTATTTGCTTTCTGTGTTGTGTGAAACAGTGTTCGTTAATTTTGGATCCCAGGGCCCTAACTAAAGTGAATTCGAAATGGTATTAGGGATTGAAAGGGTATAAGTGTTTCTTTAAGGTTGCGAGATAAAGTAAAGGTTTTATAAGTTATTTATTTTACTGTACCTTGGTGTGAACGTATGATTTTAAAGATCCTGAAAACAGAATAAGAACAGTTTATCGACACGTAATCAAGATTCTGAAGAATAGGTAAGTTAGTATTTTAATATTTGAGGATATTTTTATGCATTGTCTAAATGTAAGTAAATGTGGAAGTAAAGTAATTTGCGTAACGTGCATGGAAATAATTTAAATATTTGACACTAAGTATTTGTACCATTTGTAATGAAGTAAAGGTATGATTCGTTGGTGACGTGTATAATGTAATAGATGATTTAGAGGTAAAAGTTTTTGGATATTTTATTATTTTTACGGGAAATGTTCATATTTGGAAAGGGTATGTACTTTTTCGCGATCAGGTAATTTCATATATGTTCTTTTTACCGGGTTTAAAGATTCGAAAATTGTCATGTATTTTCGTGAAATTTTTCTAATTTATGAGAAAAAAGCAGTGTACATGGATCTAGTGAAGAGTGTGCGCAATGCCATTTTTGTAATTCTGGGATGTTTTTTAAGTAAAAATAAGTCGGCGTGTACATGGTTTATGTGTATGTGTTATTTTGAAAAAGCGTAAGGAGTATGGTATTGTGCACTTTTTTCCCAATTTTGCAGTGAATATTTGTCATGATTAAGCAGTTTTGTTAGATAAAATTTCTAGCATAAGTGTAATTCGGCTAGTATATTGTTGGAAGAAGTGTTCAGTAGATAAAAAGAAAAGAAACATGTCTTTACTTCGTGAAAACAAAATGGCGGCGGGGAAAAAAAATAGAGGGTTGCTGTAGGAGAGTTGGTCGGCAAATTTTCGCCAAAAAAACGCCAAGTTACCATAATGTAAAGATCAACCCTTTTTTTCCCCCAAATTTGATATTATATATCGCCCTGGAAATAAAAATAAAAACTGCAGACTCTTTAGCAAGAATAAATGCAGCTATAAAACCACAAATAGATCTAAAGGCACTACATGATGAACTTTGTTATCCCGGAATAACTCGAATGTATCACTGGATAAGATCTAAAAATTTGCCTTTTTCATAGACGAAATTAGAAGAACTGTAATTCAGGTATGCTGGTGAAGTAAAACCTCGCTTCTATAGATCTGAAGGACACTTAATTAAAGCAACTGCACCTTTTGACCTAAATCTAACTTCAAACCTTTGTCTCGGCTTCCCTAAATTTTTTTTCCCTTTTGCAATCCTGCCCTGATCTGTCATCTGTACTGTCTATTACCTCAAAATATTTTTCATTTTTGGGATGCCAGAGACTACATTCTGATAGAGGATCTTCATTATGTCTCGTAATTAAAATGCTTCTTACTTCACTTTTATAGCAACAGTCGCAAATGCGTATACTTCTCAAGGAATGGCAAGTAGGGAGGTATAATGGAATTATATGGAAAACCATCCAGCTGGCACTAAAATCAAAGAACATGGCTATCGAACGTTGGGAGGGTGTTCTGCACCCTGTTTTGCGTTCGATCCAGTCGATACAGCAACAAATGCCACACCACATGAACGTATGTTCATTCATGCTAGAAGATCATATTATGGACGTTCTTTACCTGCGAGGTTGACACAAACTGGAACAGTATTAATGAAAAACCAAACACGATCTAATAAATAAGAGCTTATTTTGCAGGAGGTGGAGCTCGTTGAGGCTAACCCAGATTTTAAGCTTGCATTAAACTTCCAGATGGTAGTGAAGCCAATGTTTCAATACGATATTTAGCACCCAGAGGAGATACTCCTATACATGCCCATGATATCGGGTTGAAAACCAACAATTTTCAAATTCTTTTGCTCAACAGAATGAAGATTTGACCACTGAAGCTCCTGAACCAGTATCGAAAACTGTAAGCAAATCACCAGAAGAGGATCCCCAAGACAGTGATTTACCGCGGTCTAGCAGACATGAGGTTTGTGAAAAGACTTCAAATGATAATTTACATGAGAGTGGATCATTGCGTCCAAAAAGGCAGAGACATCAGCCTTCTTATCTGGCAGACTATATAACTTATTAATAATATTAGGGAGGGGTGAATGTGGTATAATATTTAATATTAATGGCAGCACTAACATTATATTGCATGGAGTGGCAACAGTCATTCTTAGTTTAAATATTGTTTTTACAATGTAACATTTGATATTCTGTTTTATGTGCAGTTTTAGTTGATTAAAGCTTCATTTCAGCTTCTTAAGGAAAGTGGTTTATTATATTTACAACAGTAGATCAAAATCTTGAACATTAAACTCTCTCTCACTCAAATCATTACACTTCTAAAAATGTCTAAAATGGTAATGAATGATAAAATTCCTTACATTCTCCAACATCTAAAAAATGACTCCCGAGGGAGGAGACTTTGTCGCTAAATCCAGACGATAATAAATTAATTATTGTCCATCATATTTTGATTGGGCGCCACTTTCGAGGGAGTCTGTTAGAATCTTTAGAAGGCAAGAAACCGGAAATATCAATTTTTGCCCTCGCCAGTGGTTGAATTCCATATCTTCTAACTGCTAGCTGGTCGTGCTCCCATTTACTTCACGGAAGCACGAGGAAGGCGAAAATTGATTACAGCTTCTGTATGACTCAACAGTCCCATCTTAGGAAAAGTGATAAAATCTCAAATCATTTTATTAACGCTTAAGATAATATTATTCTTTTCCCCCCTCTTTAATGTTTTCGTTTTTTTTTTTTTTCTTTTTCTGTGATATTTCTCAATCAATATATTATTTTGTCCGTTCAGGAACTTCCAAAACAGACTGGTTTCTTGGAAGCGATGCTAGTCCATCTCCAGAAATGGCGTCAAAGCTCAACTCATTTTCCTGTTATGTCTCATCAACAGTTTTGTGACTTGGTTCACTCTCAAGTCAACCCTTTGGCCAACATCGAACATATCAAAGTTATGATTGATCAACTGCAGCTCATGGGAGAAGTAAGTATTTTCAATTTTCTCATTTCATGATTGATGAAAATTAATTTCAAAAACTTATTTCCTAAGTGATGAGTCATAATACTAACTTTAAACGTATAGAAAATTGCACATTTAGTAAAGGAAGAACTGTGTAAATTTGAAACATCTTAAACTTTAGCACAAAATTTTCTTTTTAATAACATTGCTTTAGTCTGTATTATTAACTTTAAATATGAGGTAGACTTTGCTTTGTCTATCTCTAAATATATTATATATTTTGTTTAAGTAATAAATTATTGTGCTTTATGGCCTGTATACCTTTGTCATTTTTTAATTTCATTGAAGGTTTCCTTTTTGGATTGTTAATGTAACATTTGCCTTATATAACAAATAATATATATATAATAAATATATATAACATATGGCAATATAATGTATAAATGGTTTCATGACATTCTGTTTCAATTTCCAGTTATTGTTTTTAAGACTGGAGACTCAAGACATGATTGTATTGAACCCTCGTTGGTTGTGTGTAGATATTATCGGTCACATGTTATCTCAAGAGCATCTTGAGACAGCTAAAATAACAGGAACATACACTGTGGATGATATTCAACTTTTGTTTCCTGATACAGATGCCTTAGACCTCTTACAGGTATGTACTTCAGTTGCTATTTGTAAGCTAACAATCTTTGATTTGTTTATTTTCTTCAAAGCATCACACGAAGAGAGATTTTACTGAGTGATGAAATATTTACGAAAACAAATAATTGAAAAGAAGTGTTGCAAACGTTTTAACTACCTTGCCTGTTTTTAACGGCTCTAAACTTCAAGCTATAACTACTTCACCTGTTTAACAGCCGAAAAAAAAATTTCATATATATCTGAAGAACTTAACATAATTTCTAAATTAAATGACAAACTGGGTTGTGACGTGTCAACTTTGGGGGATTCTTTCACTAAGCATAGAGATTATCATTAGATTTCATGTTAATAAACTGAGCTGATAACTAACTTAACTAAAACAGTGAAAAGGAAAATTAAAAACTTTCTGTTATCAAATCAAAATCTACTACATTCGTTATTTTTCTCATTATAAATATTTAATTAATGTGTGCTCTCTAACTTTCAACCTATTAAAATATTAAAATTTCATTTGTTTTTCTTCTTATAAGTATTTAACTGTTATATATTGTTGCAATTGTACTCAATAGTTAGTTATATAGTTAATAGGGATACGTAGTTTCCGCATTCAAAAAATAGAAATTTCGCAAAGAGTCAAAAATGAAAATTTCACATTTATTCTCAATAAATAAATAACTAAATAAATAAGAAATGATAGCCACTGTTTCTATAATCAACTGAACTGCTGTCCTAGTTATGAAATATTTTATTCTTCTCTCATTATAACAACTGATCAGTCTGTTCTTTGAATGCTTCTTTATCAGAATATGTGTAAGATTGTACATACTTACGTCTTAAAGTATCTCCAGAAAAAATGTCATCTGAACAGCTTCTAAACATGTATTTTATCATAGCCTTAATGAACCCTTCTTTTTTCATTGTGACATGATTTTACACTTGAAAACTACAAAACATCACTTAGAAACCACTTGAAAATGAATCTATGGTCACAAATTCTTCAGCTTTTAAGCAAGGTTTCATGCAAAAACTCCGTAAATCAGTTCTGACTTGAAATTATTAATGATGACAATATATACCTTTTTCTTCTTCTTCTTTTTTTTTCCCCCAGCACGAATTTCTTTATCCTTTTACTTGCATATAAAGTTCTCAAAACGTAAACGAGGGGGAAAATAGCGCTATTTCACTATTGGCGAAAAAAAGATTCAATAGCAAAACTTTGGAAAATTAATACAGGTTAATTTATTAGATATGAAACCATAGCCTTTAAATGCTAAAATTTTATTTCTATATTAAAATTTAAACAATGATTTTTTTTAGCTGTAGAACAAAAAGTAAGATTTTGATTGGCTTTGGTATATTTGCTCTTATTCAGGAAAATCTTTGATAAAATACTCGTGAATTTCCTAAATTGCAGTAAATGATGAAGTAAAAAGGAAAGAAATAAAATCTGTAGTTTCTGCTTTTGTGTTTGTAATGAAAAAAAATTGTGCCTTTATAATCACACTTTAAATTTTACTGCACAAAATTAAATTAACTGCTTAAATAAAAATAAGTATTAATTTAAAAATGAGTATTAATCTTTAATTAACAAAGTCACAGTGCAACATAAATCATTTCAAAAGCTATTAGGCACGTTTTATCCTTAATTTCTCTCTTTATTAACCGTAACCTAAGCGCAAGAAACGAAACAAACAAGCAACGTACTCAAAACAAACAAGTACTGCAGCTTCCGAAATTTAGTTATGTTCTTTGTTCAGGTGCTGGAGTCTCTGCAATTGTGTACGCAGTGTGATAGCAACGGAGACATCGAATATGAATTTCCTTGTTTCAATATGTTGGATTCTCAAGACTATCTTTGGGATAAAAGTGATGTACGATATACGAATGCCGTTTATGGAGGTGTTAGAATACAATGCTGGCCAGCTGACAAGCATCTGCTTAGATGCGTAATTCCAAGACTACAGGTAATTGCTTAACAATATATTTTGATATTTTTAATCCTGATTTAATTAACTTCACAGATATTTCACTTGCTTCCATAAGCACTTTTGTTCTCATTAAACTTGGTTATGTAATTCTTTCTGTAACATTACATCAAGCTACTGTATAAAAAGCCGCCCAACAGGGACAGTAGTTAGCGACATTGACTGCCGTATGGAAGCACTCCAAATATGTGGCAAGCTAAAAGGCCTTTTAGGAGGTCTGTGGTAGTTCAAGAGGAGTGGGAAATCTTCAGATCCGTCCCCTCGAGCTGTTCTCCATTAAAATTAGGTGCGGAACTGAAGAAAGTCGTACTGTCGCTTATACCGTGCTCAAGACTCTTGCCAAACGAACGTCGCAATCTTGCGCACCTTGCAACTATGAATTTATTTCGCGGGCTTCTTCTGATGTTACTGTTAGACAAGTGAGATACGTCACAACACAACACAGTCACTGTATACAAATTAGGTTGCATTTTGTATCAATTTATGTAATTGGTTAGCAACATAAAAAAGTATATTTCTACATCACTCATTATTTCGCGTACTAATTGAGAATGAAGAAGTTCGAAATAACCATTTTGATAGAACGAACTCCAAATACCGCTTGTTAAGAAAATGGCAATGCAGAGTCACCATCTATTCCCAAACAGATCAAAGTTAATCAGTTAATACTAGCAGTATGCCTGAATGAGTTACTTTCTGTGGTCTTAAAGAAACTAGAAATAATTATTAAGTACGGAATCCATTTCCTAAAAGTTCGTCCGGAAGGCCCAGAGCATTCTAGAAAGGTGCAGAGCTGATGACTGCTTTCTGTCGATTAATAAAGACATAACATTAACATGACCATTCTTTCGATTTGCAAAAAGCATGGAAGAGCGGATTATCTGTTCCAATGCTGTTGTCATCCTCTTTTTGTGGCAGCTATGACAAACACTATTTAGCTTCTCCGTTTAGAAAGCCTTTAGGATAGAAGTTCATAATCTAAGCAGCCAGTTAAGTAGTCTGTAGACATGAAACTGTGACAGAGAAAGTATGTGAAGTAGACTAACAACTAGTGGAAATCGATATTTTTCCATATATCCAATATTTTCAGGAGGATAGCAGATTAGCTAACAATTAGAACAAATGGAATAAGCTCTATTAAATTTGAAATTTCAATGCTTAAGAGTGTAAAAGTTATATATTCTAGACTCCTATATATGTTCTTATTCCAAGATTAGACCACGTTTACATATCATTTTTGCATGGCTCATTTCTTGAGCCATACAAAAATTATATATAGCTCAAGCGATAGAACCCGTTATTTCCCCTTTATAAGTACGATGCTGTACCCAGCTGAGCTAATGAGCCGCCAACAGAGGCAGGAGTACAGTGAACTTTCTTGATGCTGTAAGTATTCCTATGCATACGTTGTGGGAAGATGATTTTGTCAGATGCAATAGTAAGTCGAAATAATTTTCGAGTTTTGAGAACTATACATAAAGAAATCTGAAAGGATATGTAGCGTTAATCACTGAAAAAAAGATGTCAAGTCGTATTGATTACTCTATACATAAATGACTATACTAGATCACACATTGATCATGCAAGTCACCATTAATCACAACAGGTAGCTCTGGCACTTGTAAGTATTACTAACCTCTTAAATGATCTCTTAACGTCAGATGTCACGGTCACGCCAAAAACATGTCCTGCTAGCGAACAGTACTACTACCTATAATTCACTAACAAGCGTGTTTCGACGTTAATTCTCTTGCATCTCACACGCACTGCCCGCCGTCGCTCACCCACTTTATGGGCCCAAAATATCTTTAGAAACTTTGACTCACCACAGAAGGCAATTTTGTTTATCATAGGTCTATTATTCGATAACTGTAATTCTTGCAAACTTACTGCATCGTTGGAGATGGACTTTCGTTAACAGCGCGGCGTTAGTTCGTAATAAAGAACTTCACTGTGATTTCTAGCATCTTTCTGAAGGTTCATTTAAAAAATTAACTGTTGGAGTTTCGTGCATGAATTGTCCTTCACCTGCCAACCAAAGGCAATGTCCTTTTTTGGTGTTAGAAGCCTCTAGAGTGTAAAAGATAAATATTAAATTACACTACCAGATACAAAAACACAGCGAGGCTATTTTAAAATAAAATATGATTCTTAGAGCTACTAACTATTCTTAGCACATCTTGACTAAAGAAACTCGGAAGCAGCCCATACAATTATCTTTCGATTGCGTTATTGATTGTGATGTATCTAATTCATTCGGCCTCTGAAATAGCTTTACAGTCGAATGCTTGTTTTCTGTAGCATGAAGAAGTGGGAATCATTATTAATCTCAAAAATTGTCGCATTATTTTGATGGGGTCTTTTCCGTACGGAGTGTATAAAGTTTGAATAGTTAGTAAAATAGGAAATCTGGAGCCCTCAGTCTCTTATATGAGCAACATGACTGATGTTTATATGAGCAAACATGACTTGCCATTTCAGAAACTGGAGTGCAACTTGCATTCTTACTGATGCATAGCTCTAGTATTCTGCTGCTGTTGCAGTAAAATATTATAGCATTACTGATGTAAATAAAAAAAACTTAATTGGATAACCTTCTCTGCGTCAATAGTGTTTTTCCCCCCTCGTGTTAAATACGCTACAAACCAAACAATTTCTCCATGAAATTCTCATATATTCATTAAAATTTAATATGAATATTTAATTAAAGCATGAACGTTTTTTGAACTAAAAGTACGTTTATGAATTTTCAGGTTCAGCTCAGGAGATATTCTCAAAACCACGTGGCAACAGATTGCTCCCTGCAGCAGTGGAGGCAAGGTAGTAATTTCACGTATAGTAGCATTCAAGGGCAAATAACTCTAGGAGAATTTGGTGAATCTATTGATGTTAAAATCAGAGCGCCTTCTTTTTTACGAGTTGAAAGGTAAATATCTCACAGTTATTATTTTTCTTTATTTCTGGTGCTTCCAAATACAATTCTGAAGATTTCAGCATTGAAATCAATATCTGTTATCTTGTTTTCGTGGTAAACGTTCGAAAGAACTTCAGAAGTGCATATAGTAATTACGTAAACTAGAAAATAGAATTTGATGCGGTAAAATACGTTTGTTAAAAAGACAGTGTTTTCGGAACGCTTGAATACTCATTCCACTTATGATGATACTTTTACATGACTTCATCAATTTATATAAGTGAAAATTTTAAATTCAAATTATTTTCAGACTTAGATTTTAAATAAAATGTAAATTTTGTTTTATAAAAATTAGATTTGTAAAATTAATGTTATGAAAAAATATTGCTTCTCACTATTTTCAAAGACTGAACGGCCTAGCATTGGCAGCTTTAAAGGTTGTTGAACATTGGTTTCAAACACCGGGGAACAGCTGGCTGCATGAGCATTTCTGTGATTTGCCCATATGCAATGTTAAATATGGGATTACTCCCTTTACAACTTCCTCCACGAAGACATTCCTTCTTCAGGCAGATTATCCTAATTTATTTCCCCGTAATTCAATAAAATCCAGTCAAACATTGAAATATTAAACAATTCATTATTTATTTTAAAATTCTAATAATGAAACCTAATATCTTAACTGTCTATGGAAGCTAGTAGAAAGGTTACTATTATATTTTTGTGTATATCATCTTTAGACTAAATTTAAAAGACAAGATTTTAGAATTTTTACAATAGGTGTTAAATCAGCTGCTGGTGTTTATTGGGTTTGCAAATCAAAATGCGTCTTAGAAGGAACTATAAATCAATCCAAAAACCAGTTATACATTACTAAAACTACTGTACACTATATCATGAAGAAATTTCGAAATTTTAGTTAGGAAGATTAATAATAAATTTAAAAGACTAAAATTCAAAAAGGGACAGAAATATATTGCTTTATGAAAACTTTACAGCTGTAATCGAATTCCATTGTCTAAATATCTGAAGCATTTTCAGGACCTTTAATAAGCGAACTTGTCTTGAAGAACAACGAAAGAATGTGTAAATGCAGTAGTTTATATATCCAAAAAATGCGTCCCAGCAGAGTTTCTTGAACTTTTATGATGAAACGATAATACACTAATTCAGCGTGGTCCAATCCGATGCCCGCAGACCACATACCGCCCTCTTATTCATTTTGTTGGCCCTTACCCTCCTTACTGTAAAAAAAAAAAAAAAAAAAAAAAAAAAAAAAAAATGTTAGTTAAACATTTGGAAAAGCAAAAGACCCTCCTTACTGCTTTAAATAATAAATATTAAATATAAATAGTTATATTAAATATAACAATTAAATAACAAAAATTATACGGCTCAGTGAAACAGTGAAAACCTTTGTAAATATTGTAAATTTAGTAAGGGGAGACAAAGCCCAGAGACAGAGAGTATTTATTGCATTTGTGGACAATTCGAATGCTGAGTATGCTGACATTTCATTGTACTGTCAAGTGCACTGTTTAAGTGCTTGAAATTGTCTGCAACAGTTTTTTGGGTTGAGGAATGAAATTCTCGCTTTCCTCAAAAAAGAAAACATTGGGCATGAGTATCAAGAAAAATTGGAAGAAATCCAGTTTTTAAATAATCTTGCTTTTCTGACAGATTTAACATCTCATCTAAATGCTTTAAACTTCAAACTACAAGGCAGGAAACGAGATATGTCCCAGCTTTATGGACATATTGAAGGCTTTCGCCAAAAAAATTAATGTAATGCAAATTTCATTGAAGGCAAATAATACGGCACACTTGCCATTTTGCCAGACGCTGAAAGAAGAAAATGACACAAATTTTAGTATGTTTCATGAAATAATTACTGATATTAAGAAAGAGTTCCAAGATTTTGACTCCCCTCCCAAACTTTCATTGTTCTCCTATACTCTATAGAGATTGAAGTAAGTGAGGTGCCTTGCGACCTTCAAATGAAAATTTGTAATATTCGGGCTGATCCATTCTACCAGACTAAAAAGTGTTATGTCACTAAACATTTCTGGAAGCTGATTTCTAAAGGACGTTTTCTCAAACTGCATAAATTCTCTTTGCAAATTTGTCTGGAAGTACATATGTGTGTGAAAGTACTTTTGCTACTCTCAAACAAATTAAATCAAAAACGAGAAATCGCATTGAAAGGGCTTCACTGGAATTAGGCCTGAGACTTTGCCTTACTGAAATTATAGTGGACATTGATAAACTTGTATCAAAAAAGCGGTGCAGATCATCACATTGATTTCTAGACTGTAAAATAAAGTGATATATTAAACTAGTGATTTATATGTACTCTGGCCCTCACTCTCCTATATTAACGTTTGATTGACCCTCGGGTAACTAAAAGTTTGACCACATTGCATTAATCTATGAAAGTATTAGTAATTAATTTTATGAACTTAGAACTTTTAGAACGCCCGGCGGTCATACGAAATGACCGCTGTTTTAGATATTATAAATTGTAATTAAAATGATTTGTGCAAAGGTGTCTGCTAATTTAAACTGAATTACCCAGGACATGCGGTGAGGACGCTTCTTTGCTTACTGCCCCACGGGGTACCCCCTTCTACTTGCTTAATTGCCTAAAGTAGAGTTCAATGAAGGAAACCACTGGCGGTACATTTCTTAAGAGCAACCGCTAGTTTAATCAATAAAGGTGATTTAAATAATGAAATGTTAATTCACATGTCAAAGATCGTTTTGTACACAACATTTCTTGTGTAGATCTTTCCATCATTTTTAAGCTCGCCTTGCAGAGGACCATTCATTATTTTTAATTTTACGCCCGTTCTTTCACGAACTCTTAAACAGGCAACGTAAAGTTGACCGTGTTCAATTGCAGGTTCAGGTAAAAATATGCCAACATGCTTAAGCGTTTGGCCCTGAGACTTATGGATGGTCATAGCAAAGGCAAGTTTTACAAGAAATTGTCTACGTCTCAATTGAAACAGCAACCTTGTACCGTGGCAACTTCAGCCCATTGGCTAGTACAGTTACGCAAGCAACCAATAAACTATCAGCGACAAACAGACACTTAAGCTGCATATAAATATATATATATATATATGGGGTGAAGTAACATCATCTCCTCCGAAATGGCTGGCTCTCGGGCTTAGCGAAGCACACCGTAGGATTCCGCAAGTCCGTGGCACGCCATTTTGACCATTCGCGTCTTCTTGGGACTTTAATTAACCGAGATATTAATTAAAAACTAATTTTCCCTTACGTTTTCCCTACATTCTCCACTTTCTTTCTTGGGTTTTCCCTATTAGAGGGATTAGGCTACGTGCCAAATTCTTTTTTCTCGAATATCTACGGAACGACGCCGAATTGAAATTCGAGACGCGGATCCTCGAATTTCAAAAAATTCTCCGAATCCATCGATACCGTTCTCATCTTCGTACGACTTTAATCGGCCGAGATATTAATTAAAAACTTCGGAAACGTTAATTTCCGCGCTCATTTTTCAGAGTGGCAACAATAAACTATCGGCGAAACACACTTTAGCCACTTATATATATAAAAAGAGTAGTGATACATTATTAATCATGCATTTATATCTCTATATATAATAAAAGAAAGAGTCTCTGTGTGTGTGTGTGTGTGTGTTTCGTTTGCGCTGCGCGTAAGCTAATAGACCCACGGCTACGAAATTTGGTACATAGGTGCACCTCGAAGCAATTTTTTCGAAATTTGAATGCAAATTTTTTTAATTTTATGTTTTGTGACAAAATCGCGTCATTTTGAGACATAATGGGCTATAGGAAAGCGAGATTTTACTCTACACACTCCATTTTCACATCGTCATGAAATGTAGGCACTTAGCTATTTTACGAACTTAAAATAAATTTCGTGTTTCAATAAATCGATTAAATACGAATTTATTTAACAAAGGGAGCTTAACACCTTTTCAACGGGATTTTTCTGAAAAACTTTTATTTTTAAAAATGTATAGTTTATTTTCCTTTGATTTTTGGACACGTTAAACTTTCATCCTTGCGACTGCTTTTACAAAAAGAATTTACGAAAATGATAATATTTTGTATTTTTAAAAAATCTTTTAAATGAAGCTTCCGAGTACACTTCTCACATCTCACATCTTTAAAAATGTGATTTTGGCAACAATTTTCCTGCCTTATTCTTGTTGATAGGTTTTTTGATGAAATCGCATCATTTTGAATAGTTTCATTCTTTTAGAAATATGGGTTCGGCAACAATTTTTCATCGTATTTCTTATGTCAGTGTTTTAAGAGATTGGCATATTTCATTGTCATTTATATATATATATATATATAATACATTTTTATTGATTTTTTTCCTGCGCGGAATCTTATGTTTTTTGAGTTGCTTTCATGTTATTTTTGCTTATTTCACTGTGTTGTAAGATATTGAAAAGTTTTGCATGATTTTTTTTCTTCAACGGAAAGTTGGTTAATTTTTTATTAGGATAATTAATATTTGTATTAAGGGATATAGTTTATTTCATTGTAATTTTTGTCGTGAATATATAACATAAAATATCATTAATTATACTTTGCTTTTCAGAATTTTTTGTTTTTTGTATTCTTTTCTGTTATTTATTGCTTATTTCATTGTTTTTAAGATACTGAAAAGTTTTGAGTGATTTTTTTAGGATACAAAGTTCTTAATCTCCTTTATACCATTTGAGTTCTTAAGATTTTGCAAAGGGAAGTTGGTTAATTTATTTGTTAGGGTAATTAATATTTGTATTAAGGGATATTGCTTATTTCATTGTAATTTTGTTATACGTAATAACTTTTTTTTATGAAGTTGTTCTGCAGAGTAAAATTCTACGCAGTTTTTAAATTTAACGTTTGGTGTTCCCTTCAGCCATTTTTCCGGTACATTTAAAAGCCATACGAAGGCTGGCAGCGAAGCTGCTAGTATTTGAATAAAAGCAAAAGTTAAAGCCATAATGGACTTTAATGGTGAAAATCTAGCGCTATCGGCTGCTAAAATTGTGAAAGTAAATTTATTTATTAATTTCTATTATAATTATGTCTTAGGAAAGGAAGTGTTAAAACTATTACAAACTGAAGTTAGGAAGTGTTAATTATTCAAATTGCGGGGATAAAACTATTAAAATACTTGTAAAAAACTTAGAAGAAGTTTAAAATTTGTATAGGTATACATCAAAAACTCACATTTAAATGAAAGAAAAGAGAATAGTACATTATATAAAAAGTAAATAAATTATTGCTTATTTTTTGGAAGAATTAAGGAGAATTAATCCTCCTAAAAAATATGCAATAATTTGGGTATGACCGTGTTTCGTCTCCTTCGTATGTTTGAATGAATTCTTTACTAACTGCAAAAAACTTTATAAAATTTTGGATTTAAATTAATAATTTTAAACAGCCAAAGACCAGATGGAAAGTAAGGAATATTTGTATATCTACAGGGTGTCTCAAAAGATCGTTGTCAAACTTAACATGCTAATCTGTCATACCAGGACAAACAGGATTTATATAGAAACTTGTGTTCGAAAATGCGAACGGCGACCGCTAGAGGGCAATGTTTGCAAGCGTACAGAAAGAAAGGATGTCGAAAGAAGTATTAATATGACATTTATTTAAGAACATGGTTAAATCATGGAAGATGTTCAAAATTCCTTCCATTCTCTAAATTCTATGCTTCACAATGTCGACGCGTAGATTCATGGATCAGTTCAAAATAAGCACATGTGTCACGGACACGTGCCGCCGCTTCTGCGATCCTGGAGGCGAGATCCATGTCCGATAATACGCTCATCTCGTACAACATGGACTTCATGTATCCCCACAGGCATAAATCCAGGGAAATCAGGTCGAGGGAACTCGGTGGCTATGCGACTGGTCCGCCTCTGTCAGTCCAGCGATCAAGATATGTCCTACCCAAGTATTCCCGCATAGTGCTGCTAAAATGTGGAAGTGCTCTATCGTGCTGAAACCAGATGTTTTGGTGTGTAGCTGCTGGAACGTCAATGATGAGATCCGCTACACTTTTTCCACAAAATGTCCATAAAGAACTGAGTTAGTAAACTGATTCATTCTTCTACAACGTCCTCGCCTGAAAATCGCTCTCACTTCCCACTCTCCCATTGTGCTATAGCGGTCTCCATACGCATTTTCGGATACAAGTTTCTATGTAAATCTTGTTAATCATGGTATGACAGACCAACATGTTAAGTTTGGCAGCGACCTTTTAGACACCCTTTGTACTTAATATTATGTAGCAAAGCAAAAACGTTAATAGTTTTCGAAATCCACAGTTTAAGAAACACAGTTATGGAAAAATTTCATGGTTAAGTATATGAAACTAAGGACAAGTTGTATTTCAGTGCTGTAAAATTTCACTAAGTAGCCGCTAACGTTCGTACTTTTAACACTAAAGCGGTTTCTTGCTGTTTTGAAAGCTAAAGATAAGTTCAACGAATTTAGCAGTGTAATCGTTGACTCTTTGCATTAAGTTCACGAAAATTTATTTTTATAAAATGGCATTTTCTTTTTATTTTAGTGTTTAATTAGCTTCACATAACCCTACCTGTCATTAATTGAAAAAAAAATAGTTTAAATAAATATACTAAGGTTTTTTTTCATTGCAGTCTGTATTGTTAACGGTGCAGTAGCATGAAATTAAAATCACATGTATGAGCATTAACGTAACAAGATCGTAGTTGCAATGATTAAAAAATTATAATGGTTTCAATACATTGTATAGCTTTTACTTATCTCTACGAAAAGTCCTGGAAAATTTTGCACACCAGTTGTAGTGTTGCTGGCAACCAATTTTTAAAATATATGTTTCGCGTAAAGTATAAATTTGTGATCTCGTGAATTCCGGTAAAGTATTTCCATTCCTTAATTTTCTAATAAGATAGCTTTGATGTACACGAGTTTCATCTTTCTTTAAATCTTATTTACTTTTAAACATAATTTTTAAATAAAAGCCTTCACTAAAAAGGTGCAAAAGTAAATAATTGTCTACAATCATATAAAATTAATCTTTCCTTTAATGAAAATTGCAAACAGCAGATATAAAAATTAGCGAACCAGTTTACTGAAAGAAAAATTAACTCATGAAATCTTTCTAACGTTTTATCATTTTCTGTCACTAACTTTCTTTGATAAAACTTTCTCAAAGTAACTTATATCTTGATATTTTGAATTACAGCTATGATTTATAAATAAAGCAAATCTCATATCTGTCTTGTCTATCAAGATCGCTCATAAGAATAGGAGGGGCGGACTGTAGAGCGCTCATACTTACACTGAACTCTTGCCCTTCTGTCCACAGCTTTCTCACGCTAAGTAACCAGAATGAACTAAATGCAATTTTCTTGAGGAGTTGAAACTGCAACGTTAGAAGTAGTTGCATTTTAATAAGTAAAGCGCACTGTGATGTTTAAAGCCAGGGATTCACACAATAATTTTTACTTTTACATAAAAGAATAAAATTCTTAATTTTACGTTAATTAGGGAAAATGCCAGGTAATATTGCACTGTATTAGGGCTTCGAAAATTTACATTAGAAATAAAAATTATGATACGTTGAATTCATTTTGTTCAGAAAAGAATACGAAAAACTTATTTCATTTCTGAAAAAACAGAAAAGAAAAGAAAAAAAGAGAACAAAAAATCGGAGGAATTCATAGATATGAAAGTAGATACTCTTAAAGATTATGGAATTTCCTGCCTAAAAATAAAAGAGAAACCTTATTATTAAGTAAGCCAGCAGCTATGCGTTAATTCAGATTTTATCCCCAGAATTTGAAAATTAACAGTGTTTTTTCTGTCAAAGGTTTAATATAATAATACAGTGAAAATTATTCGAATCACAATTTTAATTCGTTCCTGAAGACCATTTGTTATCCAAAGTGTTGGTAAACAGAAGCTATTTTCCCTATAGGAGTTAATGTAAAATTGATCAGTCTGTTCCTGACACCACAAATGATAGCCTTTCTTTAAAATACAGAATAGTACCTAACACACAAGTTCATATTACAAAACTTGTATACGAGCCAGTTTCCCTTAGAAAGTCCTCCACGAAGGCATCCCTCCCCCTTATTCAGATAGCCCTAGTGTGCTTTGCCATAATTAAATACGCCACAACACCACAACATATTACAAAACCAATGGAAATAATTAAATCTAAGCCCCCCCAAAAATAATTAAAAAAGATAAATACAATATTAAAATTTAAAATAGACGAAAATTTAATTTTTTCTTACTCATACGGTGGTAAATGGAAGCATAAGTGAAAAATGATAAGGACAAAATGTTGATGTTTGGATAAGAAGTCCTCTTCCATAACAACATCAGGTAACCGTCTTTCTGTGACATCTTGTTTTTTGCCTTTTATTTTTTGCTTGGGTTTTAACGCCATACTATTTGAGATTCATTGGGCCTGCTTTTTACTCAGAATTTTCTCACTGCGATTTGTTCTCATCTACATTTTAAAAATGTTTCTAAAATAGAGCATGGCTTTGAGGATGAGACTGCTTATGCTGTGGTTTTGTGTTGTTTTATCATATTGTTGGCTGCTATGTTATCACTACATGAAATTTTGCACTTTATTCCACTCTGCACATATTTCGCGGATGAGAGAACTAAGTTTATCTATTCTTTCTTCCTCTTCCTATGAAGATGTTATCCACAGTCGACTTTTATTGCTCTTTCTGAAGTTGTAAGGTTCTTTCTTGTTGTACTCAATTTATATTTCTCTAGTAACTCTTGCACGTCTTCATTGTTTTCCATGGTTTTATCTAGAGACGTAATGTTATGGCAACAAAAAAAAAACCTAAGTATAAAAACATTCAAAATCTCTTCCTGCAACAGAATCTAACCATGCTTTCCTCCAGGCCGAATTCAATTCCTGTAAATCACTTGAATCCTGTCTTTGTTAATGAGAATTAAACAGTGAGAAATATTAAATTGATGTTCGTAGAAGTCCTTGAGGGTTAATTCTGTGTCAAAAGCTACCTTAAAACCCAATGAAAATCATTGGTTGCCGAAATGAGTGACGTTTTAAACTCGAGACTGCGTTCATCATCAAATTTCTTTAAACGAGGGCTCAGATAATTTTTGTATGATGTGATATGTCAAGATAAGATGTTCCGCTATATCTTTTCATAATGCTTACATTATATGTATGTATACTATTTCAGATGCTGTTCATAAGCATAACTGGTATTAACTCCATTTCTTAAGTTGAAAAAAAATATTTAATATTTTTAATTATAAAAAATGTAAAATAAGTTACTATAGCATTTTAGAATTAAAGGGAATAAAGTAATGTTTTTATTTTCTAGCTTTTACTTCTTGTCAAGTCTTTTGGGAGTGATTGATCACACTATGTCTGAAATGTGCCCAGGACTTCTGTACGAGAAACATGCCATCAGTCCTTCACATTTGTGCCAACATCTTATTCAACCGCTAAGTCATTCTTCTTATGCCTTATTGTCAACACTTCTAGAACAAGGGCTGCCTGGAAGCGTTCGCATGTCCGATGGAACAATTATAGAACATCTTACCGACGTCATATGCTTGGGATCTCCAGATATTGTTGGATCAAATAACAATTCAGGTGGTGTTGTTCTAGGCCCTCAACTGCATGCCTCTAATCTACCTTTGCCAGTCCATCAAAGACTTTGCGCTCTTTTGGATCCACCAGAACCAATAGGAAGAGACTGGTGTATGTTGGCTGTCCTTTTGGGACTTACGGATATGCTACCACATCTTGATCCTGGAGACAATCCAGCGCAAAGTCCTACCAGCCGAATTATGCGCGAATGGCTCAAAGAACCTTCTAGCACTATAGAGTGTCTCATTGATAAATTGAAGGAACTAGGACGACTAGATGCAGTAGAGGTCATTATGAGGACAGCCCCCTTTATCAAAGTATTCCCTATAGGAGGAGAAGTATCTAATGAAGATATTAGTATGATTTGTAGTATGTCACACACTTCCAGTTCTAATATATCTCGGTAGCTTTCAATGAACAGGAAGGACTGAGAAGTAGATCCATAGTTTTCAGTGGAACTATAACAGAAGGTTTTTCTAAAGCACATTTAAGACTTTAATTACAGGATAAATTTATCTTGTTATTGTTCTAATCATAACAGAAAATTTTTACTTGAATTTCTTTCTGTATTCTAACTGAATCGGACGCAAATTCGGTTCTTTACTATGTACTTGTTCTTCGAGCTTATTTCAGTTTTACGAATTTATTTTATTCTTACAGGTGATGTAAAAAATGAATATAAGTAACTTATAAAATGAAGCATTATTGTCAAGAGTCCCTTATTATTCCGTCCATTATGTTTCACACAAAGTTTTGTGTTGATATATTTATATCTTTTAATGAAATGATTAATTTCAGTTAGCTTTTAAACTTTGGAGTAAATATTATTGATTTGAATCATCAAAATTTTAATTAACGTTTTAGAAATGTTTGTAAGAATCTACGTTTACATAAACTTCAGATAGAATATAACTGTGTATCTCATATGTAAAAGAAAATTATCTTCTACCCTTTCCGATTTTGCCAGGAAATCTAAAAAGGGTTTTTGTTCTTATTGAAATACTTCATAAAATTCTATCTGTAGTACTCATTTTCATGCTCATTTTTTATAATGTGAAAATCTTAGACCTTGCAGATTCTTCTGGAGGAAATATTTAAAATGGACATGTGCATGGAGTCTAAAATATTAAAAAAATTAAGGTATTTTGCTTCAGAAAACGGGAATCTAATCAATTACTATATTCGTACTGTAGAAGAACTTGACATTTCTGTAAAAATACCAGATTTGACTCCAGGGAATCTGCTCAATTGAAGTATTACTGTGAATAGATTTGGTGACTGCATATTTGTATGAAAAATCGCTGCTGCTGAATACTTATGTTTTATAATAAATAAACTGAACTTTTTGTTGTTATGAATTTGTTTCTTAAGTTTTCATTCTAAGTAAATGTTAATTTCTTTTTAATCACTTTCTGAATCTTGCTTCAGAAAGAATTAAAAAAATTTTCCGTAGAATGTAAGAAAGAATGTTTGTGTAAATAATTATGCATTTTAGGAAAAATGGATTTTTGCAGCTTTCCTATTCGAAACATTTCCGTCGTAAAATTTATTTTATTTAATTCACTTTGCTTAAAAAATAAATCTTTATTCATTAAAATGGCAAAAACGAATAAATATATCAATCAAACAATATAAAACAGACTTCTATTTTTCTAAAATGATCATTTTAAAGCTTACCGCGACAGCAGGCTTTCTCCAATAAAACGATCACTCGATTCACAAAACTAATTTTGACAAAATTATATTATTATTTGACAAAAGTAATTTTGTCAAAGACAAACGTCTTAAAGGCCTCTGTGAGTGTAACCCCGCCTCAGACAAGCGCCGTGAGATGGTGGACGATACCACGGGAGGTATAGCCGCAGCTGTAGTGCGTTGAATAGTCGACAATGATACCGTTGGGGCGGTTTAGGCCTGGCGAACAATCATCCTATCTAGCCTCGCATTTGTGTTCCTTGGCCTTCCAGAGTCTTCATTCCATCGGCAATTTTCTTGTGGCAACCATGGCTGCCAACATCTTTGCACAGCATTTTTTATACACTGCAGGTGGCGACTTATTGCTCGGTACAAGGACGTTAGAATTCTAACATTCTTTGGCTCGGTATGACCACCCAGCTTCACTCAACCCTACAATGCGACCACGTTCGAAGTCGTTTAGTTGTCTGCAAGGTCTTCGATATCGTCGTAATGGCATCTTTAGTTGCTTCTTTACGGAATTACAATGGCAGTGACAAAAAAAAGATAAATTTTCCGCCTCTGTTACTGGTTTTATACTTTGCGAATTGCACACTAGAAATGCGTGCTATGACCGCAATTCTTGTTCGTTTGCTTTGAAATATTGATCATTTATTTGCATGTTCGATCAAGATGTTTCTGCAAACAAAATTTCGTCACGATCTCAAATGTCCTTCTTTGTGCTTCAATTTTTTTACAAAAGAGTGTACTTCTGCGTATGTTTCAAAGCCTATCTGTTTAATTCCAAATGTGTCGTTAATTCCAAAAGCATTCCTTTCAGGATATAGCGTACTTTGCAACAGCATTTCATAAACCTGTGTCTTCAAATAACGACATGGAAAAAATTGCATTACAAATACTGAGATATGGAGACGGTGGCAGATAAACTACTATGATGTTTTCTGTTAATGAGCTCTGTTTTCTGTTGTCTGCTAGTGAGCTTGATATTGCATTGCGAAACTGGAATTAAAAACTAAGCTTATTAGTTTGTCTATTATGAAGATAGTGTCTTCACAGAAGAAGCTCAGAGGTTAAAAGAACCTATTATTAATCTGTGCGTTATCAAAAAATGGGGGTTAGCCTCTTAGCATTATCTAATGTGTGTGTTATTGCCATGCTTACATAAAACTGAAACACTAAACCTGATAGTTTTTGATATTTTGCCTTGGTCCTTTAAATGTACTTTTTTTTTTTTTTGGAGGGGGGAGGATACCTTTAGCTGACATTTATAGATCTAGTTGGAAAATACACACGTAGTGATAAAAATGGGGTGGAAATAAGCATATGACATAAACATACGTTAAAACATGATTTTCGTCATGTGAAAACATCACACAATTTCTGAACATGATGGAACCAAAAGTCTCCTTAAAGTCTCCGTAAACCAATACATATGCATTTCCACCAGTTTAATTTAAATACATACTAAAAAATTACTTCATTTTTTTATTATTTTATGCTGCAGACATTTAAGCGAATATACTCAGAATACTCTCTTTTATTTAGCAGAAAGATTTATTTATATTATTAGCACAGATTCTATTAGTAATACTTTTCAAAAAAAACTTTTAGATTTTCTGCATTCTTAAGAAAAAAGGATGAAGAAGCGATATAGTGTGAGCTCTTGGAACCGTTCGGTATTAGTGATCCTCATTTCCCACACATTTATCAAAATGCGCATGTTCTTTAAATGCAGATAAATGAATGCAAATACGAATATTGAAACAAGAATAGTTCACAAATTCGAAGCAAAGATAGAACGCAATGAACCTAATTGATAGTAATGGAAAAGCAAGTACAGGAATAAGAAAGAAGACGCATTCATAAAAGACTCTGTGAGGTAAATTTTGTTTATTCTACATATGAGCTGCATCCTTCAATTTAATTTATTCACTTTCATGTAAAATTTTAAAATAGTTGGTATATATTTAGGGGTTTTGCCCACACTAGTTTTTAATGCAAATTATTAAAACAGTCCCAGACATATAAGAGAAGTATGCAATACACATGAAAAAAACCTTTTTCAAAAAGCAAACAGCAAATTGTAAAATATAAACTGGAAGAAGAAAATGTCATATTTCCAACAAATTGTAAGCATCTCAATACACAAAACATGAACATATTTTCTCTGCTAAATTTCCAAATGAGACAAGTTGGAACCTTAGCTTGATCAATTTCACGAATTGTGAATGAAAAATAATGAACCTCAAAGCTACAAACTTTCGGCGCATGCGTAAACGTAATATACGTTTACGCATGTGCATATGCGTTTACGCATGCGCATAATACGTATACACATGCACGTTTAATGTATAACGGATGGTATAAGCTAGGCTAAAATTATCTAATTATCTATTTCAGTTAATGTTGCAGATTGCGCTGTTCCTTAATCTTCTAATTGGATCTGGCTTATTATTTTTTGCAGACTGTTAGAGCAATTTTATAAAATGTAAGCTTGAACTTTCGATTATGTCAAAAAGAGTTTGCGATTCTGCAGCTTCCAAAGGATCTGCAAAACGAAAGCATGTTTCGATGTCCATCAAACAAACATGGAATTGCTGCCAAAAAATAGATAAAGGCATATCCATCTCAAAATTATGCGAGGAGTATGACATTGGAAAATCAAAAGTATATAACATACCGCTTCCGATAGTGAAGAAAGTGACAGAGAGGTTATTGAAAACGAAAAAATTTCGATTGACAAGTCAGTCGGTATTCCCGACACAGCAATTACAGGACTTGAACAGTGGAACTTTGTAACTGAACAAGAAATTATGTCTGTTTATAGAATTAAAGAGAAAGTATTAGGACAAAAGATGAAGCAACTTAAACAACTTACATTGAAAGAAATGTTTAATATGTTTAATAAAGGAAACAAATAAATATTAAGCTTTTTTTTTTTTTTTTTTTGTAAATTTTGATACCCTTTAGATCATAATCACTCTTCATTTCATAAATTACAGTTTCATATTTTTAATTTTATAATTTCTGCATACCATCTTACCAGATTTTTCAAACACTACCACTTTGTACATATTCTGTAAATACGAGGCGTATTCGGAAACTAAGTACCGTTTTGAAAAAAAAAAAAAAAAAAAAAAATAGTAAAACAATTTTTTTCGATCCATTTTATTTTTTACATGAAATACATGTCTTATCTATTTTTTCAACATAGTTTCCGCCAATGATCAAACACTTATCATAGCGGGTGACCAGTTTTTGTATACCATCGTCAAAGAAACTTCCGCCAGTTTCTATAACCACGACTCCACAGCATTTTTCATGTCATCGTCAGATCCCAAAGCACTTGCCACCAGCTCGCGCTTCATGTGCAGGAACAATGATAGTCGACGGCGCCAAGTCCGGGCTTTACGGCGGGTGATCGAACTGCTCCCAGAAACTGTCGAATTAAACGATTGAGTGACACCAGCAGATGGGGCCTAGCATTGTCATGGAGAACACAATTCCGTTACTGAGCATTTTTCTTCGTTTTTGAATGGCACGCCTTAGTTTTGTTAAAGTCTCACATGTCGTGCCGCATTAATGTTTCACCTTTGGGAAGAAATTCAGTAGCAAAACGTCTTTCCTATCCCAGAAGACAGTGCACTGATTTTTTGTGATGACATTGTCACTTTGAACTTTGTTTTTTTCGGAGAATGAGTGTGTCTCCACTCCATCGATTGTTGTTTCGATTCTGGTGTGAATGACACACCCAAGTTTCATCACCTGCACAATTTGTTTAAAAAATTTTCTCCCTCATCACTGTACGCGTGAGAATGTCAGGGCACTACCAAGTCGCTTTGTTTTGTGAACATCAGTTACATTTTTGGAACCCATCGGAACCGTTTGCGATAATTCAGCGGTCGACACAATTTCGAACAAAACAGTATGTGAAATTTGTGGAAATGCCTCTTAAAAGTTGTCATTGTGAAGCGTCTTGCTCATGAAGCTTCATCAACTTTCCTTACAAATCATCGGTGACAACAGAAGGCCGACCACTCCGAGCCTCGGCGTGACATTGTTCGCTGCATTAAACTTTTACCCATTTCTCACCATTCCATCACTTATCGCGTATCACCGTAACTTCTGTCACTTGACGATAAATTCGGCCGGTTAAATCCTCCTTTCAAAAATTATCACGGCACGAATCTCACAGTCAGCGGAGACTAATTGTCTTAAGCTTTTGAATATGCACGCAACTAAAACCAACATAGCAACCAAAATGGCCACAATTGAAAGTCAGTGAACAAGAAAGACTAGTGTGCATGCGCGGGACGCCTACCACAGCGCTGCGACGGCGCTAGAATGAAACTGTACTTAGTTTCAGAATACGCTACGTATGTTCATTTTCATTACTTTTGTATTGCCTGTATCTTACATCTGTAAATTTTATCTATCAATGTGGTTGTATTTGCATAACATGTATCCTCCGCCAGATAACCAGATTGACGTTCTCGCTGATAAAGCACATTCTGCTACAGACAAGTCGTACGGACGGCCTAATCGAAAATCTATAATCCGGACATCAAAACTACAAACTTTCTGCGCAGGCGCGTGTATGTAACGGACGGATAAGCACTAAAATATCTATTTCTTAATGTTGCAGATTGCGGCTGTTCCTTAATCTCTATAGATCCGGCTTAGTTTTTTGTAGACGGTTGGACATTTAAAATGAAGCTTGAACTTTCGATTATGTCAAAAAGAGTTGCGATTCTGGAGCTGCCAAGGATAAAGCGAAAGCATGTTCGATGTCCATCAAACAAAAAATGGAATTGCTGCAAAAAATGGATAAAGTCATATCTGTCTCAAAAATGAAGCAATTTAAATTTAAATTGTTGATCTATAATCTGTAAAAACCCCTAATCCGGAATCGCCGAAGTCCCGACGAGTCCGGATTAAAGACTTTGTAATGAACTGCTAGGTAGATCGAAATCCGATTGGCGAAAGTCATTGACTCAACACCCAAGCAAGGAAAATTAAGTTATTTTTCCTAGCCCAGAGGTTAAACAGAGTGAAATAAGACCGTTTTCTTAAGCTTGGAGTAAATACTTATACCGGAACTCTGACAATAGACAAAATCATGTCTGTTTTTGACTCTGGACAAAAATCGTGACTTCGCACTAACTGTTTTTATGCAAAATGATACGCAGCTGTTTTTATAAAACATTATATCCAGTTTGATACTTTTCGTACTAAGGTCCAAAAGCCTGTCAAAGTTGTTAACCGAGTATTAAATAAAGACAAGACTACTGAAGAATTTAAAACTAAACTCTCCCCAGATGGCTTTCCTGTAATTAAAGATTTCTAGTTTACTAGGAAAAGTAATGATACGGAATTAAAACTTCCTGAATTTCGTCTTCTTGTACAGTGTACTATGTTCTACAACAAGTAGGTTACAACAACTTCTCCTGTCTTAATGCCTTATCTGGATGCCAAATAATTTTCTGTTCACTGCAGTAGAACTTCGTCGCCATCTGGCGCGGTAAAAGAGACTCAAAATGTTTTTCTTTCATGGAATATTATAATTTATGGTAGTAAAGTTCTTCGGTCGAAGAAGACTACCTACTGCGATAGATTCAAGTTCAAGGTTACGCGGAAATCTTGTTTTGCGTAATCTTTGCTTTTCTGAAACGAATTAAAATAAAATCCTAAAGTTTTTAAAATAGCCTATAGAAGATATTTCATTTAGCTTGATAATACAGTTTATTTCTCAAAAAATATGCAACGTGTCGGTGCTGACACTGAAAATTTGAGGATGTTTACGTAAAGTCTTGTTTACGTACATCAATTACGTGTAGTATCACTTAACCGTAGCCTTTAATTTCGGATTTTTATCTTGTTGCTACGGTAAACAAACCGATCAGATACTCGATTATCTGATTATTTACTATACGTTGTTACTATACATGTGGTTATTAACAGGAGAGGAAAGGAATTAAAATTTGTAGCATGGCAGGGAAGGAAAAAATATACCATTTACTTAGTAATATATCCAAAGCCTCGTAAGTGCTGATAAAATTTTTAAGGCTTGTTTGCTTCTTGATATAAATTTATTTAAAATCTTTTAAATGCATTCAATGACTTTTAATCTTTTAAACATATTCATTCTTCCTGAATATATTCCTTTTCATAAAAAGTGCATCATACATATGAATTCGTATCCCCCAAACAATATTTACCGATTATTCAACATTTTCTTATTTAAGATTGTATTAGCAGTGGGCGATTCTGCACTTTGCCCGTTTCAATTTTTTTAGTTTTAATTGAATCTTTTGTTAATTATATTGTGGTAAATTGTATTAAAGCTGCATTTTTTGTATTTTTCTTTGTCATGTTTTATTCCTTCAATTATATTCCTTTATTATTAAGATCTCCATATTTAAAGAAAGGAGGCTATAAATGGGCAATCAAAGATTTCCTTCTTGTAGGAAACTAATTCATGATTTGTTGATGATATAAATTATTTATTGTTATGAGCCAGACAGGGGCGTAGCTAGAGTTTCCAGCGCGCGGGGACAACTGAAGAATTTGCGCCCCTTTCTGTGTGCCAAGAATGGAAAACATTTCATTAAAAAATTTCGTAGCATCAATTTGGCGCCCTTTGGATGTTGCACCTGGGGACAGATGCCCCTCCTTGCCCCACCCTAGCTACCCCACTGGAGCCAGATATATTTAAATCAAGAATGTTTACCAAATTGTTGGTTGTGAACCAAGATAAAATTTTTTATTTTCATTTATTTAATTACATTCTTGCTCTGAAGCTATTTTCATATACTGTTAAAAAAAACATGTATATGGTCCAAGAGAATTAGTAAATCCATAACTCGTAGTGTTTTTACATTAAACTGAAAGGTGAATCAGAAAGGAATTCAATTTGAAAGGCAAGAAATAGTCATAATATTATTCCCTGGCAATATAATCCCTAGAATAGCCCTGCTTGCTTGAAGATAATTCGAATAAGAACACACACTAAAAAAGAAAAAGTCGTAAAATATGAAGCAGCTGTGAGATGTTTGGATTGGATAGAAATTCTAAGATGGGCAAATGTGGAAGCATCTCATAGGGGCTATGGAAGTACTTATCTCTTGACGCCGCTTCTAACGGCCGCTAACGTTAGGGGCTAAAGTGCAGAATCGCCCACTTATTTGATTGGCATTTGTTTGGCACTTTTTACAAGAGTAAGAAGAATTGGGTTTTTGTCAATATTCTTTGACTTTTTAAGTGAAAATAGGTCAGTGTGTACATGGATAAAGGGAGTGCGCAATGCTATTTTTGTGCAATTCTGGGATTTTTTTTTAAGTGAAAATAGGTTGATGTGTACATGGATACCGAGTATGTACAATTCTTAAAACGCGCCAAGCAGTGGGCGATTCTGCACTTTCCCCCTCATAGGCACCATGTGGTTAAGGGCAATGATTATCATCAAAATGTCTAATTTTTATAAAGCTATTTAGCATGTAGTACATCTTCATTATTTTCTATTATATTTCATAGTTTTATTTTACTTAATATGTCTAAAAAAATTCCGTTTTTATTTCTGTCTAAAGATATCTTTATTATTTTATATCGTTTAATAATGGTTTTTCATAAGCCATACAGAGGTTAAAGGTAATTAAAGCATTGCAGTTTAAATTTAGACAATTCTACACCAAATTAAGATTGCTTCTCTCTCTCTTTTTTTTTTTTTTTTTTTTTGCCTGATTGGAACTTTTGCAATAGCATGTTTCATGTTTCTCTTCCATTTGAAAGCATTGTTATGACATGGGGGAGAAGAGTTTTTATTGTCATTAAGATGTAAAGAGAAATATTAAAGCTCTCTAAGGAGAAATGGAAAGCTTTTCATTTTAGTGAGTATTTAATTTTTATTAGTAAAGGCCCTGTGTCGGTGAATCTTCGGATTACAGTAACTTGACGATTTTTTGGTGACCAACCTGCTACAGCAACCTGCTAGTTTTTTTTTTTTTTTTTTTTTTTTTTTTTGGACGTCATTTTGTTTTCACGAAGTAAAGGCATGTTTTTCTTTTTACTCAAAATTTTTTTCAATAATCTGCTACCCGAATTACCTTATGCTAGAACTTTTATGGAACAAAAGTGCTTAATCATGACGAAGATTAGGTGCGAAATCGTTTCCAAGTGCTTATTATCTAAAATCACGATCGGAAGTTTCCGGAAAGTAGTGAAACAAACGTGCACGTAAATTTGTTTTTATAGGGCAAATTTATGTATGAAACATGTAAATAATTTTTCTCATAAAATAGAAAAATTTGCACTAAAATGCAGGAAAATTTTGTGAATCTTTGTAGTCGGTAAAAAGGACATGTTTGAAATAACCTGATCGCTAAAAAGTATATATACTGTGCAAGCTTTTATATCTTCAGCTTGCATATACCCTTTCCAAGGATGAACATTTGCACGTACAAAATAAATAAAATATGCAAGAAATTACATTAATTTTCTTTTCCCTGTAAATTATCCATTGTAAAAGTCACCACAAAATAATCTGTGACTGGAACTGTGTACTTCTCAGATTATTGCTAAAGTCCTAGCCTTTATCACCTTACCAAAATGTCGCCAAACTACCTGTTATCATATTCCAAAGATTAGCTTCTGTATCTTCATAAAGTACATACTTTTTCTTTGTTTAAGGGTATTTGGGCAGTTTAGGTTTGAGTTACAGTATTGTTGTATTCTCAAGCAACCAATACATACAAATATTATATTTTCTGAGGAGACACTCATACTTATTCTATTTTAAAATCTTTCCCAACGACCCAGTATTTTCACAAACTCTACAACCCTTCGGTCCACATTAGGCCGAGTTTTTGGGACACTTCTGTACTACATTTTTTTCAACTGTGTTTTTAAATAGGTACTTAAAAGTGGAAGGGAAATCTAAAAAATCCTATATGAGATTGGGCACTTGCCTATTCAGCATTGGCTACTCCTAAGATCAGCCAAAAGTGGTGGCCATTTTATCATAGAGGCACCTAATAAGTGGCCACCATTGCCTCTTGTGAAAAGGACGGACAGTTATAACCATGCCTTCTCTGGGATTCAAACCAGGTTCTTTGGTACTGCAGTAGGCTTCCCCTCCCTTTACCAATATAGGATCTGGGCGGCAGATATAGATTATCTCTCTCTCTCTATATATATATATATAGAGAGAGAGAATATATATATATATAGAGAGAGAGAGATTTACATATATTAATGCAGATGTAAGTGTTAAATGCATTAAGTCCAATTCTTAAATTGCACTCAGTTGTCAGGAAATACCTTAAAGATTAAGTTTTTGTACAAATTTATTTTCTACATTTCTGTACAAATTTATTTGTCTACATTTAAGTTTTTGTACTATGTAATTTATTTTTCTAGTGACTTTTCATAAAAGACAGCATAAAAATGATTTTAGTATTGCTGAGAGATTTGTAATTAATTTATATCTTGTGTGTGGAATAGATGTATTTTCTCAAGTTTCTATGCTACTAGATTTTATTGAAATATTTTTGTTTCCTCTCAGTTACTTTCTTAAATTAGTGGAGAATCAACGAAAAGAAAAATAGTAAGGGCTACTAAAACTGTAGCAGCATAAATATGCTACAGTATCGTTGTGCAATGGAATCAGTAGAAGGTGAAGCTGTGTGTTTCCCCCCCCCCAGTTTAAGCCAATTTATGCCCTGCAATTGAATCAAAGATGCAGCTTTATTTAGTTCAGTATTACCAGAAAGAAATAAGTTTGGAATCATTTGATTCACACTTATTAATAGGAATTCTGTGAAAATTGCACCTTGGTTCATCAGTAAAATCTGTAATTCTAAATTATGTTTACTCTAGGAGATAAAATATTCTAGAATTCAGGAGCTTTCATATAATTTAAAATATTAAGTTCATTAGGTTATTATGATATAAGTACATAATGATAAATCAGTCCTCAGTTTAATTCATTAATATGCAGAACTTGATCAATCTCTAGGCTCACAAAGCTTCAAATTTTAGGGGCCCCTAAATCATTATATTTTATAGTCCTAATCTTTCTGCATATAAGCAGATAAAGGGAGCACTAGAAGACATTGTGCCAGAGACCCTAAACTATCTCAATTGTGCCTTGATGATTGACATTACTGTCTAAATATGCATTTCATCATCGTTTTCTCTAAATTGATCATGAATCCATCATAAAACTATGAAGATTGCTTAAATAAACACTGTTATTAAATGGAAAGCACTTGCTTTGAATTGTTAAAAGATATTTCCATGAATTCAGAGTACAGAACTTTAAGAGCAACATAAGAAAGAATTATGTGATCTGATAACATACTGGCTTAAACAAAGTGTGTATTTTTTAGAAACAGTGAACAGGATGATTATTCAAGAAAGAATTTGAAAGTTAAATAGTTGAAATAATTGATGTCTGTATAAACCAACATAAAGTAGATGCAAAATATTTCTTCATATATTAGTAGGATGAAATATAAGCTAAGTCATGCCTCATTATGTAGTATAGAAGTAAAATTTGCTTTTATTATTTTTTTATAATTCATTTTAAGGTGCCGATGTCCTGCGCATTCCAGTGCAGTACATCTGCGAGGTAAGTGCAGAAATTCTCTCTCTCTCTTTTTTTTTTTTTTTCCCATAGAATTTTTTTTATTTGTTCTTAATTTGTTATTCCCTTTATTAAAAGGAAATCATGGATTTACTCCAAAACAGAATGGTAATAAAGAATATGCATTTGAGGTAAATATTTTTTATTTTGAAAATAAAATATGAATTCAAAATTTAAATCTTTTTAAAATCTGACATTTTACATAGCCAGTTGCTTTTCTTTCTGTCTTATTTATAGATGACTTGTTCTAGTGTTCGATATGGACCAGGAGTTACACAAGAAATTGGAATGGTAATTTGTGTTAAAATTTTATTTAAAAATGCATTTAATTGCCAAACTGTACTATCAAAAATAATTCACATTTTAAAAAGCAATAAAATAAATCCTGCAATTTAAATTGCCAAACTGTACTTTTGTACTATAAAAAATAATTCATATTTTAAAAAGCAATGAAATAAATCCTACAGTTTAAATTGAACCCTCTCTTTCAGCTATAGAAACAAAATATACAAATAAAAATTATATGGAAATTAAAATTTAAATCAGAGAGGGAAAATTTTGTTTATGTTCTAAATTAATGCAGAATTTTCAAGAAACTTAAATTAATAAATACTTTAGCTGTTGTAGACATTTAACTGATAGTAGTTTGCTAACAGTGACCAAGCACCAAAGCTCCCAACCAAGAGCCTGCTAAGGCATAAAATCCAAACGTGATTGAATACTCCAGCATATGAGTATCTAAAAATCATTTAGCAATCACACAGCCTGACAGTAAGACTTGACAGTAAATTTATGAGCCCCTATTGCACCTAAACAGATCACCATAAAAGCAATGGCTCTAGTCCTGTAAAGGCAGCTAGCTAATCTCCCCCCACATAAAGGAAGAAAGCGACTTATTCATTGCTGCCCCTTCCCCACATTATGGGAGGATTCACAGAAGAAAACAGTTAGCTGACATGGGCAGTTAAGCAACAACACATTTAACCTATAACATGTTTAGCTGACAACACATATGTATAGAAAAAAACAATGTTTTAGACCAAGTTTGGGCAGACTTTTCCATGGTGCAGGCCACTTCTAATTTTTTCTAGGTGTTGCGGTCCACCCAGTAGCTTAAGTGTGGTGAGAAAAAGGTGTACAATATTTATTATAACTTAATAATAAATATGGAATATGAACTTACTTACCTAAACCTACGTAAAAAAATTACTCTTTTAAAATTGCGTTTGAAGCAAAACACTAGATACAAGCATGATAATAATAGCCATAGATATAATAATTTCAAATGATGCAATTCTTATCAAACGATTCAAAATACATTAAAAAATAAATAATTTTTACCTAAAGTTAGTTCGCAAAGTTACCGTATTTGACGGCATATAAGACACACCCTTATTTAGAAGGCCACACACAAGGAAAAAAAATTTCAATAGTCCGAAACAATCATTGAATGCAATTACCAAACATACTTTTATTAAGGAAAATTAACAAATGGCAAGCTGTTTTGAACATGATATGTAAATTTCAATAATGAATAAATGAATGAACGGCAAGCAATCAAATATAATACAAAATAAAGCAGAAGCATGCACTTTGGCATAGTTTAACATTACTAGTTTATACTGAATTGTATAGCTTAATCTCTTGTTTCCTGTAGTCATATTTTCCAGGGTATTTTTTTAAAACAAATAGTTTTAAGCACTGATACCGACATGGTTATACAGAGTAGCACCGATACTGACACGTGTGTCGGCTGAGTCAAAGTCTATGTAAAGAAGGAAAGGCTCCATAGACATAATATGACCATCGAACCTGTTCGAACTTCGACATCAGCTTCAAGCTTTGGCGCTTTTTGGCGACAGATGTTTCACGCATGCGCAAAATAATTATGGCAGATGTAGAAAAAGTTATGTTTGTCTAGACCTTTATCCGGGCTAAAAATAGCATTCAGTATTGAAAGTTAACCTGTGTCCTTCACGTATAAGATGCAGGTAACTTTTTTGAGACCAAATTTAGGAAAAAATATTCATCTTATATGCCGTCAAATACGGTATATTTAGTAGAAGAGGCTCTACTTTTATACTCTTATATATGCCCTAAGATCACCAAATTTGGCAATATGTGTTCTGCACGCTGGTTTTTCACGTGATGATTTTGGAGACGATGTTGTTTGTATGGCAACCCTTTTGACGTTGAAACTTAACTCTTCTGCTGCAGTGGTTTAATTGCTCGTTGGTTCGTGTCGTGTGTGTTTTGAAATGGCCTATGTGCAACGACAGGCGTGGTGGCAAGATTTCATTCGCGTATTTTAGATTGTATGGAAAGTAAATTTAGTATTAAAAGGTGCGATGTTGGAGTTTTTAACAAGTCTTTTGTTCATGGGTGTGTATTTTTGGAATTTGGAAGACTGAAATGTATTTTTGGAATTTCTGTGGGACTTTTAAAACGGAGTCCGAAATGTAGAGCTGCTATGAGAACTTGGCGTTTCTGATAGTTCTTGTGTGGATCTGCAGTTAGATGGTTTCTTGTAAAGTATGTGGCTGTCAGCGGAGTTTAAGATTTGGATCATGGTTTTCGTGCAATAAGTTAACTTTGGAGGAAGTTTTTATCATTACTTTCGAAATTTTGAATCACAGAAAGACATGTGATATAGCAAAATCGTGGCACTTTTGTTCACAGACATTGTGTGACTGGCAAAATTTTATTAACGAATGTATTATGGTAAGTGCATTTTATTTTGTAAAATGTTTAATTTTTTTTAACTATGAATTTCTGTTGTTATTGTTGTTTTTTGAATTGTTTGTATATTTTGTTGATTTGTGCGCAATGCCTAGATTGTGCAATTCGCAGATGTTTTTTTAAGTTTAAACAGGATGCTGTGTACATGGTATTCTTTGAAATTTATTGTTGTTATGTTCATTTACTAAAGCGAGGTGTGCGTAGTTCATAGATTCTTTTGCAGCCAAGATTGTGCAATTTGTAGATGTTTTTTTAAGTTAAAACATATCGCTGTGTACATGGATTTTTGTCATATATTTTTGGTTAGAAACTTTACGTTTTCGCTACCTAAATTTTTAATTTTTGTTTCGGATTTTTAGCTTGTGTGTTCAAGACATGGTATTTGGAGACATTTTAGGCTTAAAGTTCGAAATGTAGACAAAAAATTTAGATAGTAATATGGCACCATGGAGTTTGGCGAGAAATTTGTTGCCAAGTGAGGGTGTGTATATAAGAGTAGTTCCGTAGAAGACTTAGTCTGCATACTGTCCACCAATCTTGAATATCTCGATATATAATTACTAACTGCTAATCTTGCACTGGATTCTAACTGGTCATCTGTGAGATGGAAATGATATATTGTATTATATTCATTGTTGACAATGCAGATTCACACAGGTAGGTAGAGCCAAAGAACAATGTTACGTGGCATGTGACTTTTTTTAAAATAGGATACTTTGTCCACTAAATTCCAAAAGTTATTCTTTGGTTCTGAACTACGTGCTTTTAAAATTATGTCATTTTGAAGGAGAAAAACTTTGTTTTCTTCAAGAGGTAAAAAGAATATATAATTTACATTTTCAGTTATTTCTTCCGCATCAACATTGTCAAATGGATAACACATGAATGTAGCAATTGGTTCTAGTCTAGTAAATTTTTGAAAACACCTCTCAAATTCGGAGTGAAGTTTTATTATTTCATCATAATATTCCTTTTTGTTTAATGTACCTCTGTTTTTAAACAACTCGTCAGAAATATTTTTGAAATTTTTTAGTTTATTCTTCATTAACTGGGAAGATATTAGCTTTAACTTGTTTTTGAAAGTATTTACAAATCCAGTCAGTTCCACTATTGTTTGATTTTTTTCCCTTGCAGTTGTCAGTTCATTAAGATGGCTTGTTATATAAACAACAAGAGCTAAATCCATCAACCAAATGTCATCACTAAGTTCAACATACACTTTATCACTTCATCATTTGACTCCAAAAAATCTTTTACTTCTTGTAGTAGATCCCTGAATACTACCTAAAAAAATGCAAAATTAAAAGTATACTCTGCCTTAACCATCTAACATCCGCATATATAACAATTCCCCGTAATCAGATTCATTTTCTTCTAGTTATGCCAGAAACATTCTTCTCTGAACACTTCTTTCTGAAACTGAGTTCACAAATTTGATGCAGATTTCCATAACATGGCGCATATTTAGAATTTTACAACAAAGAGCCTGTTGGTGAATAATGCAATGATAAGAAAGGAAATGCAGTATATTATCATCTTTGATACACATAGCCAAAAATCCATTGACTGCTCTGGACATTTATGGGGCCCCATCAGTTGTCATCGATACAACTTTATAAATTGGAATTGTTTTCTTCCCTATATATATTTTGAAGCTGCAGTAAACATCTTCACCCCGTGTTTTCTTCTTTAGATGTAATATTGTTAATGATTCTTCTTTTATACTTGTTAAAAAACATTCTTACAAAAATGCAAAGTTGAGAAATATCATTTGATATGTCCGTAGATTCATCAAATTGCAAGAAAAAGTAAATGCAGTTTGCAATATCTTCTGTCAACTGATCAGTCAGATCAGAATTCATCATTTCTATTTTCATTTAACATGTGCTTGACAGTTCTACACAAAAGCTGTACGTCTTTAACCGTGGAAATAATTTCATTTTTGTTCATTTATGAATGAATCAAATACTAAATCGCTGGCTTCCAGAAACACTTTTTTCATCATTTCTCCATCTGCGAAAGGATTTTTATGTTTTGCTAACACTTGACTCACAAGGAAAGATGCAACTGTTGAAGCCTTATATATAGTATTGGAGTTAATAAAATATGATTTTTGCCTGATTAATTGTGATTTAAATTCATTTAACTTTTGTTTACGAATTCACTTTTTTTAACGGAAAATCAAAACTTCTATGCATGCTTTTGAAAAACCTTTCAACATTTTCTTTTTTTTGGAAGTGCCACACTTATATGGCATACATAGCACAGAGATTTTGTATTCAGCATTGTAAAGAAAAACTGTTCTTCCCATTCTGTACTAAAATTGTATGTTTTTCTTTTCTTAACACTTGTTTTCGACATTGTAACCCTTTTTTAAAATATGACAGATTACTATTTGTACTACAAAACCACAAATAACACAAAATTGTCAAGTTTGAATGCTTGAAGAACATTATGACTGCTAGACCGTGGAACATTATTTATGTATTCAGTGCAGCAAACAGCGAACACATGTGAACCAATGAATCTGTTACCTACATGTGTACTTAAAA